CCACAGACATCACTGAACTACTAATGATGTCATAGGAATTACTAAGTTCCCATGACTTGTTGATTTCTGAAGGAGTTTGCTTCCTATTAGACAGATGACGCTCCGTCAATTCTGAGCTTAAAGTAGATGCATAGTGTAGAAAGCCAAAGACGCGGCTCGACAAATTAACATCCCGATTTGACGTCCACCGTTGTTCTAACAAGACACAACTTAAGGTTGATAGCTGAGATGCTTGACTGACTATCCGTTGTTGACGTAAAAGTAACATGCCTTAGCAGCCAATCGGGCTTCTCAACGGCACACGGAGCTGCCGGAAAATTCCATGTAAGTATTAGTAGCAGTGGTAGAAGTAAGACCATTTAGTAGCAATACGGCAAACTTTGGACCGATATATACAAGGAAAATTTTCCAGAAGTCCGCAAGTAGTGAGCGCTAAGCAGTGCCATCGACATCAGAAGTTTATCTGGCCTAACTTCCTACTTCCTAGTGGACAATTTCTACTGAACCTGTATCAAAATATAATGTATTGTTATTTGTAGGTATAGCAACTAGTATTAGCCGCCTCAGAATTTACATACTACATAAGACGGCCGTTCTTAGTCCTCGTTGTCCTAAATTTAGGAATATCTGACACAGCTTTCGCGGATAGAGGTGAGGGCGCGGAAAAAAGGGCCAGCCATGACGTGTTACGATCATCTACATGTATTAGCCGGAATAACATAAATCGAGATTGATATAAAGCGGATATAAGCCTCGGCGCTGACCCAAATCAGCATCAACTCTGGCTTACATTTTCGAGCGATATGGGAATAGTACTACTAGCACTCCGCCAAAATGCCGGTTAATAGCAGTATAGGAAGACGGTACCCTGTGAGTATGCTTAATCTATCGCAAGTTAGGCGCTGTGGTGGGCCAGCAGACAGCCTTTAGACGGGAAAGAGCACTATGTAAGGCATAAAGTTAAGGTAGAACTTTGTGCTATTATTTAGTAACGTTTCATCTTAACCCATGGACTATTAATCTACTTCAGACCATACAGATTGGGAGAGCATACTAGGGGCCAGCTTCCTACAAGCGCACTCAGGCCATATTATAATATATTAGTTATTGGTCTTAGTAATTATGGTCACTAGAATTGACACTTTGGCATGAAGGAGTGCTTATAGCAGCTGTATCTTAGTCCTCGTAGTCCAACTCCTAGTAGAAATGAACACAGTCTGGGGAGATAGAGTTGAGAGGGAGGAAACCTAAGCAAGCCTTAATGTGCTCGGGGTCTCAAAAGTTTATTTACTTGAAATCACATAATTCCAGGTTTCAGCTTCCTTGTGGAGAAAAAAATAGGTATAAGTCCCTGCCTTGTTTTAAATCAACGTTAACTCTGACTAATGATAGCGTCAGAAATTGTACCAGTAACACTAAGGCTTAGCTATATTACCAGTCAGTAGTAGTAGAAATAGTAGTAGCCGTATAAGTGTCAGCCTCCTTGAGCCTGTCTTGACACCTATAATCTACTCCGTGAGGCTGTTACCTTTTGTACCAACCTGTTGGTGCACTTGGTGGACTTCAAAGAAATCGATGGACCGACCCGCACAGTTTTGGTGGGATACTCACTGTCTTTTGCAAGGTGTGAACGGCTGTCATTTGGGCATGGGGTTGATATGCAATCGCCACTTGACCACGGAAGTGAAAGTGCTTGTTAGCGTAGGCCCTTGAAGAAGTTGGCTTTTGTCCGGTAGTCGACCTGAAAGGCTTCATTAGTTTCAGCTTGGTGATTCATATGGACAGGATGTACGGGATCGTTCTAGTTTCACTGTTACTTAACCGGACCGGTATATGCTCACGTACTCTGTTTTCCAGGGACCTCGTTTTTCGGCCAGAGTGTCCTGCTCCACAGGAGCAAGCAAAATAGTAGCTGCATCTGCATTTGGGAAGGGAGACGTTGTGAAGAACGAACATAAGTTCGCCACGGGAAAGCGCTTTCGATCACTGTCTTGAGACGTCGCCTAAACCTCGTCCTTATCCACTCTAAAACTAACTCTGTATACTCGAATTGTAACCCCCAACCTAACGATAAGCCTAAAACTATCACAAACCTTACATTAACGAAAGTCCTAACCTTTATGATAATCCCAAATCCCGATCTCGATAGAAAACCCCAACCCTAAATGCTAAATACCACGCCATTAATGAACTGCAGAAACAGTAGCATGGGCAGGCGAGGGTTTAAAAAGTAAAAAAGAGTTATTCCAATCCGCCTACGTATAACGCATTAGTAGGTACCTACTAAAACTTAAGTCCTCTTTATTAAATTTTCTCTGCCAAAACGTTTCTATTAATGTCGGTCCTTTATTACGCACTGTCCTGCGGCATGGTTCAAGGGGGCGTATTTCACATCTTTTTATGCGATATGATATGCCATTTTCTGATTTACAGTAGATGTGCTAGTTCAACAAATACTGATAGAACGTCTGACATGGTCATGTAGAATTTCGGTGGGGTTCAAGTTTTCATTACCTTGTGGCATAGTCCTCCTTTTTATCATACCCGCATCTGAACAAGCGCCTATCCTATCGCCTTCAAAACCTTCACTTGGTAATACACATTTTTAAGAGTTATATCTCGAAGCGCTCCATAACACCATCTAGTCAACTATTCCGGGCATTCAATTCACGCTCAAGAAGAAGGTTAACAAAAAACTCCGATTTCTGGATGTTCTCGCGCAGCAAAATGCCGACAGAATATTACAAACGTCCGTTGACCGCGAAGACACGCATGCCGAGGATATCCTTAACCCTGAGAGCAGCAACCCCATCTCTCAAGAAAGGAGTGCCGTCAGCAGTCTGCTACGACGAGCGAAGACATACTGTTATGACGAAGAAACCTACTGAATTGACCTCAATTATCTAATTGATTTGTTTTCCCAGAATAATTAGCCCAGACACTGTGTACGCCGCTGCATGAGACAACAACAACTTGGCAAAAGGGAACCAAATTGTTTCATTCAGGCGCCCAAAACGAACACAGGGTGAATCCTCCCTTATATAAGGAACGTGTCTGAATTCGTTGGAAGCCACTTGCGGAAACGGCAAATAAAAGTGGTCCACAAGTCGATGGTTTTTTTAGCGCAACCAGTTAGTACTTCCTAAAGATGGGATTGGGCTATCTCGATAAGAAATGAGTCATCTGCAAAATCTCATGCGAATTTTATGGTAGAGTATATTGTGGCCAAACAGGAAGATGCGTCTCCATACGCAACGATGAGCACCAGTTGGCAGTGAAGGGACGTGACCATTTGCCCAAAGTGGTCTTGACACAGGAAATACCTTTGCATGGGACAAAACACCTCCAAAAAGGGCGATATTTTCTTGAGTCCATGCACTCTGATGATTCATGCATCAACCGTCCTATCGGCTTGGCTGGAGTGTTCAAACATCTCAAAGAAAGGTGGCAGAGACTACAGTCGATAATATGGACCGACATGGACCGCAATTAGCGCCCACACCGGACGACTTGGAGTGACCCCAGACCGACGGAAATTACAGTTGCCAATTAGCCACTACGCCATTTCGACTAAAAATTATGTCCACCACGGTGTGAGGCAAATTGCAGTTGCCAGTTAGTACTCACACTAAACGACTGTGTAACTGTACGAACACTTTGAAATGTATATTGTTCTGTGCTTATTTTCTCAAGTCTGACGACTATCTGGGGATCTAATGTCGAAAATTTGCTGGATGAATTTTCCTAGTTTTGCCAAAGGATGCATTTCCTTGAGAGCTATGTCTATTTTTATCATTCGCTCATTGTTCTCGCCGCTTAGCATTATGATGTCTTGACAATATGGTTCATTAACCTCAGGATTTTTTAGCCGCTTGCG